GGAAAAAATAACCCCAAAGCTGGTCTAGGTCAACAGGCTTCCTGATGGGAAAGTTAAAGTTTTAGCCAGTGTCCAAACAATGCTCCCCTAAACATCAACTAAACCAAGGTGATCATCCTTGCATGAGGAGTTGAAGCTAAAATATATACACATCACCAAATAATTGTGCTAAACAAATTCTTTATTTTTCTCTCTTGAGCTGTGTTCTCTTCCTCGGTCTTCAGGGATTGTTTTAGAGTAGCTCTTATGTTCAGTTTCCGTCATTTGGTGAATTCTCTAGAGTATAAAATAAATTGGGTTTACCAGCTCTCACCGATGTTATAGAATTCTCTTTGCTCAATATGAAATTAATGATGAAAAATAATAACGAGGGCATGTGGCCATTTTGAATATACATTATGGAGAGCTTGACTTGGTATAATGCCCATGAATTCTGTATTATCAACCCACTGCCATACTAGACACAGTAGAACATGCAAATGGAGTTCCTACTTTCAGGGAGTTTACTTGTTTATTATTCATTTGTTTAATCACCAGATATTTTTTGAGCACCTACTAAGTGTCAAGCACCTTGACACATATTAAGGATTTTGCAATAAACAAGGCAGATATGACTGCTGCCTCCCAGAAGCTTATGCTTTAGTGAGGTTAATGGAAAAATTAGCAATTAAAATACAACCCATATCTGTGGCCGAGGTATCAGGGACTTCATTATACAAATAGCTTTGCCAAGTGTCATGGAAGTACACCAGAAAGGTATCCTAGAAGGCTGGAAAGTATTCAGATAGTTGATAGGCAGATCTATTTTTATTTACTTATTTTTCTGCTATCCTAGGGATCAAACCCAGGGCCTTGTACATGCTACACAAGCACTCTACCACTGAACCCCAACCTGGCAGGTTGTTTTTATAAATATCAACTAGGAGTCAGGCCCTGAGATAACCAAGTTGATATCTAAAGGAAAGAGTTATCCAAATAAAACAAGAGGTTGGGGTAGGCAAGTAGAATGGTTTAGACAAAAGAAATAGCTTATAAGGTTACTAGAAGGCAATGTAGAGTTAGTCAATGAAGTTAATGTAGAGTTAGGAGTCGTACCAGGAAGCTGGAGGAGGGGCTGGGGAGCCATGACACAGAGCATGGACTCTACCCCTAGGATGATAGGAAATGGAACCGTAGTTCTAAGGCAGGAGTGACCCAAATACATCTGGGTAAAAGACTGGTTTGATTATTGTGTTGAGATTGGCTAGAGCAGAGCGTGACTGGAATACTGACTTCTATTTAGAAGCTGTTGGGATAGACCAGGACCCACACCATTATGATCCTGATCAAGTCAATGGTCACAGCTGGAACTATATGAATTTGAGAGAACAAATTTCCTAAGAATGGAAAGCTCAGGACTTGGGGAGAGATTGAGCATTTACAGGTCAGATGTATTTTAAAGGGAGAGGGAGGAGTCATTCTTGGCAAACTGAGTAGAATGTGAAACCACTTATTGAGACAAAATTTCCTGAGACTAAAAACACAGGAGGAGGAAGAGGAGGAGAAGGAAAAGGAGAAGGAGGTAGGGGGAGCCAGAATTCATGTTGTCCAGAGGGCTTGTTTTTGTTTTTCCATGGGGACTAAATCCAATGCTTTTCATGTACTAGTGCTCTACCTCTGAGCTAAACCCCCAACTCTTATTATTTTATTTTGAGACAAAGTCCCACTAAGTTGCCCAGTCTAGCCTAAAACTTGTGATCCTCCCGACTCAGCCTTCCCAGTAGCTGGAGTCACTACACCTGGCTCCAGAAGGTATTTTGATCAATAAATCTGAAATCTAGGAGAGAGACCAGTGATACAGATACAGATGCAACATTTAGATATTCTTTACCTGGGGATAAGAGAAGGGTGTTCTTTATTCCCTACAGGAAACAGAGGATCTCTGAATCTTTTAAAATGTTTTCCAGTGCTTGAATTTATTCTATATTTTTACTTGAGAGTTGCGGAGGAGGAGGATACAAAACTGCTTTGAAAAAGTCTATAACTCAAAGGAAAATGAGGACCACAAAAGGAAAAGGAAGGGACAGCCTAGGAAAGAGTACCCAAGCCCAGTGAGCTGGCAGTGTTGGGCCAGAACCCAAAGAACAACACAGGCAGAAGGCAGGCAGAAGGGGATCCTTGAAATGAGCTGGAGTGTCCAGTGGGAAAGCATCAGGGGAAAGGAAGTGGTCCAGAGTCAGTTACACTGGCATCAAATACCAAGAGGAAAAGTATGCACTGGATTGTCAACATGGGTGTTCTTGACAATGAGCTGAGGTCAGTTGAACAGAGTGAGATAGAGATGAGAAAATGAAGATGGCAAAGATAGGAAACTCAAGAGGGGAGAGGAGGTGTTAAGGAAGGACCCATAGAAGACTAGGCACAAGGTGCATATTCATATACCCTCCCTATAAGATGGGTGAAGCTGTGCAATGAGCAAAATAATAATAATAATAATAATAATAATAATAATAATAATAATCCAAAAGAACAAAGAGACGTAAAGTAACAACGTAACAATTAACCAAACCAAACACACAGAAGTAATTAACAAAATCAAAAGTATAAAGCTCTGGGTATCTACAGTGGTCAGAAAATATTTTAAGGAAGGGTAAATGGAGAATGGTGACACACACCTATAATCCCATCCACTCAGAAGGCTGAGGCAGGAGGATCACAAATCTGAGCCAGTTTAGGCAATTTAGAGAGATATCCCCACCATCTCAAAAACAAAAAACACCAACAAAAAAATAAAGAAAGAAAGAAGGCTTATAAATTGAATGGATAGAGGTCTGAATGAGTAATAAGCTTACAGAAGCTTTCAGACAGGTGAGAATGGGTGACTCATTGGAAAAAATCTGAGAAAAATAATACTAACTGCATCCATTCTCCTTTCACCTTCTGTTATTCAAATAATATTTTCTCAATTAGTATCATGTCTTTAGAATGGAAATTGATTGTCGCTCAGAGAGTAGCTATAGGCATGAAACTATGAATGGTTATAAGATATATAACCCAATTGACAATTTCTAGTATCATTCTTGGTCTTCTTCACACATGAAACCAGCATATTCTTTGGGGTCACATTGTTCATTTCCTCATTTGGAATTTTTAACACCAGATAGGGTGCTAAGGCAGTATCAGCTGGTGCTTCTATCACTTAGGTTTCAAACATCCTCCATATTCATAAACACACCCATAAATAAAGGTGCTAATGTTGGGAAGGAGAAAGATCCTTTAATAAACAAAGTGGCACAAATAACTGTGTGTCTGTAGGAGATTATTATAGGACCCAGCTCATAATTAAACACTGTCTATTTAACTGAATTATTTTTCTCCTGTCTTTCTAAAAAACTGTGGAAATGTTAATCTTCAAAAGTGCTGTGTATATATCTAAGTTAAATAGGCATTGTTTAAGTGGCAGCCTTCCCGTTTATTGCAGATCACAAGTATGCAGAGGGCAGAGGATAACTAGAACTATTAAAAATTGTAGCAGATCTTAAGGAAGCTTGGTCTTCCCAAAAGATCTGAGCAGATGGCTGCTGCTTTCAGAGCTACAACTTCTCATTAGGCAGGAGCCCAGCAGCTCTTTGCAATGGTCTTAGCCATTCCTTCTCTTCCTTACCATAAGTATAGGTCAGTGTTTCAAACAGTTCATCAGAGGCAAAACTCAACCATTGCTATACAGACATTATAGAAACCAGTATCAGTTGCTTAGGAATTTCATTTTCCTACCTGAGAAAGAATATTCTATTACATTTCCTAGTTTACAGCATCTGCCCATAAAGAAAAACATAAATGTTACTGTATTTCTTCATCATTATGAAACTTGAATTTCTATATTTTTGTTCTTATTCCTAGAAGAAGGAGGCTCATTCACACACACACACACACACACACACACACACACCATTTCAATTTCAGGTTCTGATTCTGGCCCGTCTTGGTATTTAATCATTCTGTCTGAGTGCCTAGGCTCTCTCTGTGTGGACACATCTCTTCTGACATACATTACTCTGACCTGTGGTCATGGTCATTCTGTCAACTTAGGTTTCACCTTTCCAGAGGATGAGGCCCCATGCTTCATGGGATAAAATTTATAACCTGCTGCCTCAACAAATATCAAGTTGGCCTTTGCAATTTTATAGTCAAAGACTTCAAATATGGGAATGCATCTTTTGTGGAAATTGCATATACCATTGTTGCCTCTCATATATCACAGCTTTATTCAGAGACAGCAAAGGCAAAGCCTTCACTGATGACTTCAAACCTGTGCCACATGTAGGGTTTTATTTTCTAGGATTCTAAGCATCTTTTATTAGAGTCATTTGGCCTGTTTCTGAGAGACCTTCGTGATGACCTTATTTGCTGTGAATGGAAAGTTTCTGAGGATTACTGTGTCACCTCCCCCCAGGCCAGTTAGAGGACTTAGTAGAAAAACTCTTCTGATCTGAGGAAATGTCATTTTGAGCCCAGAATGAAAAACATCTGATTAAACCTTTTGGGTCTGTAGAGTCATGTGGAATGGCAAATTATTTCAATGGTTATATTCTATACAAACAAAAGTTGTCCTAATGATTTGAAGAAAATAGAAGATAATATTGTTCTTTAAAACCAGATGAACTCAGACAAAATTGTCACAGATTTGACAATGTCGCAGAAAACCCTCTCCCTCGTGGCAATATTTTGGAGACCTGTTAGGAACTCCTGTTTTCCAAGCACAGCTTGGTGAAAGCTTCAGGCCTTCCCCCAATTGACTGGGATTAGACCCTCAAAGTGTAAAACGAAAACAGTCTGCACCATAAGAGTACCCTTCCCCCAAAGGCACTTGTTGAAGATGCTGAGGGCTGGGCCTGTAAATCTACATTTACTGAACTCTGTGAAGCAGTAAAGCACTGTGCATTCTGAGAGCCACAACCCTAGGAGCTAGACCACTGAGACCAACCTGACTGACAGTGAACTCTTTGTCTCTCTCTGCCTAGGTGCAAGTGTAATCTCCATGCCACTGTGTGTGTGTATGACAACAGCAAACTGACATGTGAATGTGAGCACAACACTACAGGTCCAGACTGTGGGAAATGCAAGAAGAATTATCAGGGCCGACCTTGGAGTCCAGGCTCGTATCTCCCCATCCCCAAAGGCACTGCAAATACCTGTGAGTAGCTTTGCTCCCTAATCCAATGTTCTGTGCATGATGAGCTGATAGTTCCTCTCAATTTCACTTGCAATTGTGATTTTACTCCTCTAACCCATCGTCCCACTCCTCTTCAAAATGCAGCTTAAGTTTTAGTCCCTATTTTCTACTTTGTTAGTGTGTTTCAGCATTCTGATCACCTGTTAAAATCAGTCTTCTACCTTCCCATGAACTGTTCTGGGAAATGCTTCTTAAAAATCACAGAAACAATATTTTCCAAGTGGATCAAACGAGGTGATTTTTCTCCTTCTCGAAGTTAATTTCCTCTTGAAATAGCAAAAGTCTTGAAAACTCTCAATCCTAACTGGCCATAAATACTTTCAGAAATTTTTGGAGTGTTTGCAAACCCATTGCCCACCCTGGTAACCCAAGAGATGCTTTTTCCAGAAGCATTTTCCTGTCTAATTTGAGCTAGATTCTAACACTTCTCAGTGAGATAACTGGCTTCTCCCAAGCTCTAGCAGTTGAGCCGGGACCACCACAGATGTTATGAGGAGACTGCTTCTAGATAAAAAGCATGACTGTAGGGCCTCTGGGTACCAAGGGGCTTTCTTGTGTGTGTGAAAAGGCACAGGTATTATCTGTGCTCCCAGGAGCTGTGTGAGATGCCCCAGCGCCACACATATGTTTATACTAAATCCCTGAATAACCATCCTAAGGAGATCAGACTCTGACAGGCTCAAGGAGAAAAGCGATTATTTCCCAAATAATTTGCCAAACTCCATGGATGGAATGATTAATCACCTGCAAAAGCCCAAGGTTAGCTTGCTTTCAAAAGCAGAGAAAGGGCGAGGTTAGTATATACCCATGCAGTGAGAAGTAAAGAGAACAGCAGGACAATGAGCACAGGAGAATGGGAACTTAAAAAGCCACTGGCTCTGTGCAAGGCTAAAAATGTTATCAGGCACTTCAAAGCTGCAGCTGTGAGAAGCCAAACCTAAAAACTAATATCACAAGAACCACGACCTTATCAAGTTAAGTGTAAGAGTAATGGACCAAGTAACAAGCCATGAAGTGTGGGGGCATGAAATTATGATAAACTTTCTGTGAAGCTGAAAAAAAAAATCCCTCAAAAGGTTAAAAAAATCTCTTTGCAAGGGTGTTCAGTTTCTTTCTACATTGAAGAAAAAAAAATCTGACTTCTTGCTCCTAAAATTAATACATTAAAGCTCTGTTGAGCGGAAATGTTGATTTTTCAAGGCGAGTTTATTAATGGAGACTCAACTGTTGAGAGCCAGAGACTGAAAACTTGGAAGGTGTCTCACAAGGTTATTTATTGCAATACCCTGTGGCTGGCTACCTGAGAACCCCTCTCACCACCGTTGTCAAATTTAGTTTAAAGCTTTCGCAAAAGAAAAATGGCTCAGATTTCATTTTCAGGGTCTACTGAATTCTTTAGTGGGACAGATGAAAGAGGACGAAGTTCAAAAATACTTGCTAGCACCCTGGCTCATCCTCGGGGCAGGTTGACTTGCCAAGGCCACCAGAGAAGCAGCAGGGGTTAACTGCTATTGAAAGTATGAGCTTCTATCCTAACAGGACCTTATACCCATAACTGTGCTTCAAAGACTTGTTTATTTCAAGACATTTTCACTGGGAAGACCTTCTCATTTCAGCCAAGCTGTCTCACAGAAATGGATGTCTTATCATATACTCCATGGAAATGACTTACATAAAACCTAACCCTTTGCATCGTGACGATTATCAAGTCAGTCCCTGGCCAAAGGAATGCAACCTCCTTTGATTTGCCTTGTAGGGCAAATTGTCCATTCATCCCCTAGTTTTTATTGGACTTCTCTTGACTTCTGAACTTTTCTACATCTCTGTTAAAAAGGAAAGTGACAGACCTAGTGGCCAGGAGGGTTCAGTTCATCATTTCAGTCACCAATATGGCAGAGATTTGATGAACAATTTTAGAGATTGTCTGAAATGGTCTAGTTCTGCAAGGAAAAAATCTCTTGACATATCAGACAGTGTTTAAAATACACAAGTATGGCAGTAAGAAATTTAGGAGTTTGGTACACATGTTCTAGAATCAAATCCCATTCCTCCATTTACCTAGCTGTGTGACCTTGAAAAAGTAAGCCACCCTCTCCCACACCCCGTTTCCCTTCCATAATGTGAGGATAATAAAAGTTCTTACCTCACAGGGATTTTGAGAGGATTGAATAAGCTAATGCATGCAATATGTTTAGCATAACACCTGTCACAAAGTAAGTGTTCAAAAATACTTTATTTTTAGGATATTTTTCATGAGGCAGTCTTGCCCATTGCTGGACAGTTTTAATTGTTACAAAAGTCTTTTCTTAACATCAATGTTAAGTGTCTCTGAGTTCCCATCTTAAATAGTTAAAGAGCTATATTGACTCTGGTTTATTTCTTCTCTGGTTAACCATGATGCATCATTCACTCCTTTTTCATGTGATAATGTTTTCATGTCCCTTTCATGTCTGTCCTGGAAGTTCTGCAATTAGTGTGGTACTTCAAACCAAGCACTAAGCACAGGACTTCCTGAACCTTTTTGATTCTCTTTTCATTCACATTGCCTTTTGCTTACACACATGCATGCATGTGCACACACACACACATACACACACATACACATACACACACCCACTTTCACATGGCTCTACTTGATACATGATGAGTCAGTTATCTTAGAGAGACACTTAGAATATCCTAATACCAAACTTCAAATCTAAGTAATGAGAAAAGAGGGACTGCAACCTCAGGCCCTTTCCTTCCTCTCAGTAGCCTAGAAACGCCTCTCATGCTGAAGAATCTCAAAATTTTAGCAGAATCTCAAGCAGCCAGGGAAGTTTTGGATAGGAAGGTCAGGTGCTTCCCACTGCCACAGGTTTTAGCAAGAGAAGTAGGATGCTTTTATTAAAGCAGGGAATTACAATATCTCCTTCCAAAGACACTTACACCACCACTCAGGGACATCCCAGATTGGCACCTTGCTTAGAGTCTCTGGGCTTTGGAGGTCCTGCATGCCATAGCAACACAGAGCATATAGTGATGAGGAAGAAGCCTGGGGAACATTGCTGAGAGCCACGGCCGAGTCTGTATGGCCCCTGGCATTTTGCCAACGGTATTGATTGACAGGCGAGGCATTACTATCCGCCTCTGCCGCAACTTTTGAGTTCTCGCACTATTTTGGAGTTCTCATGGGGATCTCCGGGGATTCCCCGAGAGTTCCCATTGGTTGGGGAAGTGCAGGAGGAGGGATTTCCAGGAGAGATATTTTCGGCTGGGGGTTCCTGGACAAGCCTCGTGGAGTTCGGGAGGATTCCCCGGGAGCTGTGTGAAGTGTTTTCCTGCAGTTCAAAAATAAAGTTTGTTCCTGCTTCAGTGGCTCGTGATTTGTGCCCAGCCAGACTGCGGCAGAACATCAACAGTCTAGAATAAAGCCTTCCCAGTTGGACACACCAGAGAGATGATAAACTTGACCAATGCAGAGTAATAATTTTTGTGGTGCTATTTTTATTCTTTGTGCTTCTATTCAACACCTAGTGTGTTTTCTTGCCATTTATAAGATATATATGTGTGTATAAAAATCTTTTTCTTATTTTCCTTCATAACTTAATGTTTTGTAGAAAAGACATCTTTCTCTATTGATCTTCATTTCATATTCAATTCTATTTTGAAAGTCCTCTGAATTCCATTGCCATCTTCCAAACAGATAGCACCTCTATCCAATTCCATGCTTAATCATGATGCTCATGATTCCCATTGTCTAGCTCATAGAGAGAAGCATTAAATTGCAATGTTTAAACTCTTATCCCTGTGGAACAACACAGGATATTTGTCTACATGTAAATTCTTAAAACGTAGTAATCTCCCTGTAGAAATCATAGCTCCAGTGTAATATTTACACCTCTGCTTCTCAAATGGTGTTCTACAACCCTTAAAAGAATTCTATGTCCAAATAAGGTTTAGAAAGTGCTGTGTTCTATCCTAACACTTGCATAGTCACATTTCCTTATTAAATACATTTGAGAAGCCCTACAGTAAAGTAACCTGTCCTACCCACTACTTCCCAAACTTATTTGCTTCATGGAACACTTTATGACTTTCTATAAAACACTCTTTTGGGGACATGCTGGTCCAAACAATTTCTTTCAGCCCTGTCATAGAAATGTCAAGAGACAGACAAAAAGCCCAGCTCATTCAGTTGTATTCGCTCTCTTAGTTTTCTGTTACCTACACAGTCTAATATTCTTCAAAGAAAGAAAATTAAATTGGTCTGACATTGACATTATTTGTTTGTTCAGAAATCCAACTTGAATTGTTATACAATATCTAGGTCTCCTCTGAGTGATGGAAAGTAATTTGATGATTTTTCTATTATTTTCCCTACTATTAAATTTGCAGTGACTGATTTCTATTTTCCCAGGTGAACAAACGGGTGTGTCATTATCCAGACAATTTCCTAAATGCTTCACAAGCATCAGTCCATTTTAAGCTCACAACAGTCTTATGACAAAGATACTAGAATTTTCATTTTACAGATGTGGAAACATATGATTACCGGGGAAAGTATCTTGTTTAAGATTTGGACAGATAGTAAGCGTGAAAGGGGCAATTGGAATCCAGGTGTGTCTTGACTCCGAAGACAGCATATTGGTCCACATTGGCCTTCAGATTAAATTTGAGTGATTTTTTTCTGTCCTCTATTGGAGTTCAGGCTCCATTTTGATACCGGTTTAAACAAGCCAATCTTCTCCAAACTTGCTTGCTTTCTAGATCCGTACATGGTGTTTCTCTGCCTTTGAAGGCTTTCCTCTGTTCCTCTTTAAATGCTCCTGCTTCTCACCTCTTCTCAGTCTACAGTTTTTTTTGTTTTTGTTTTTTGTTTTTTTTTACTGTGGCATTTCATTCTATTCCTGTGGTCTTACTTCTCAGTATTATTGGTATAGTAGTAAACAACCAAATCTACTTTCAACCTTTTTAGTGAG